AGCTGGATGCTCGTGACGCAAGCAGTGTACACGCCAAGAGGATGCCCAAAAGGGCTCCAGGCTCCGCCGCCGCCGCCCCACCCCTGCACACCCCTGGCCAGGCAGGTGGTTTCTTTCAACGTCGTCTGGGCAGGGGGTGGCTGTAACTGGATGCGGCCCGGCCCGGCAACGCTGTTTACCGTCTCTCCGACGGCAACGACAGCCCGAGCCCTGCTTGGAGGCGCTACCTTGCCCTCTAGGAGCACCTCTCTCCCCCGGCGGCGTGCAAGGCGAGTCCGCCGGCGTGCCTGGGTTTGCATTAGGCTGCTTCCATGCGCGCCGTTGGGAGGCGATCGTGGCGCCAGAGCCGGCTGCTAATAACATGCAGATGAGGAGTTTGCGGGAGAAGACGTGGAGGAGCGCCGGCCGGGGAAGCGAGTAGGGCCGACCCTTCGGGGGAACGGGCGCCGGCAGCCTTGGAGGCTCTGCGGTGCCTCCGCTGTTCTAGGCCGCGCGCAGGCCAGAGCCCTTCCTCAGGTCTCCGCCCGTACCAGAAGGAAGGGGGCGCCTCTGCCTTAACTCCCCAACGATCCCTGGGATTGGCCGAAGGCCGAGTTGGGAAAGGTCGCCCACAGATTTACAGCCCTAGGGAGTTAGTTGCACAGCCTTGCCAGGCCTCTGGTTCTTAGGGCGTCTTCTTCACTCCACGGGATTCCCGCGATTCGACGGGAGGAAAGTTTGGAATAGTTGATTTTCGCAGCCTTGGCGTTGACCGTGCTGGTTGAGGGATTATAGTTACTGTATAACCTCCCCCCCCCACACACACACACACCGCAAAGGAACTTATTCAAGATTGAATTGGAAGTCGCCAAAACTTGCTTTCCAAGGCGTAGCTACGAGGCCTGCATATTAAAGATAACAATTCTTAGTAATGTAAATAACGAGGACAGATTGATTAGGAGCCACGTTATCGCGGCGAAGGGAGGAGGCTTCTCTCGCGTGCATCAGCAACGAGTCAGATTGGGGGCATCTCTCTCTGCTTCGGCCACCCACGTCGAGAGGAGACTTCTACACTGACACTTCTTCCTTTCAATAAAAAAAAGGGGGGGAAGGAAAGGGGTGGAAAATGAAAAGGCCCAAGAAACAAGGCCAATTAGATCCCCTCGGTAATTCATCTCTTGTGTATGAAATGAACCAGACCACAGGGAGAGAGGGGGCCAGAGGGGAGGATATTAAGATAGAGCTTGTTAAATTTGAGCCTCCACATTGAGTTTTGGAACCACCTTTTTTTAAAAAAAGAAGTAGACATAGGAAGAGGGCTTTTGGAAACAGGAGGAAGGAAAGGTCTGTAAAGAGGAATGAGTCCACGACGACATAAGTGTGCCGCACTTAAGCTCTCCAGCTCGGCTTCGAACCATGTTTACTCTGAAATAAACCTCTGTCCTAGGATCTGGAATTTCTTGCTAGTTTGTGTAACCAAAAATTAGTGGAAGAGAAGATGGGAGAGCGATGGCAGCGTCAACTGGTGGACTCAAAGGTCCCTTCCCTTTAGATAATACTTGGTGCAACTAGAGATGCCGTTTTCTCCCGCATCTTTGAGTCAGTTTTTCTTTATATCTGAAAAATACGCATTGGTTTTGGTTAGATAAATCTCTCTCCCTTTGTTTCGGTCTTCCCAGAACTGTCCCATTCCCTCGCCCTTAAAACCCTCATTACTAGTTTTATTCTATGTATCTAATGCTGATACATGCTCAAGATTAGTTAACACGCTATAACCACAGTTCTCAGCAGGCATTTTAATCCGCATTAGGAAAGGACAAGAACCTAGCGGAGGAGTTGACTGCGTACCAGAGTCAGGAGGTGAAGCGTCTCCTCCCCACCCACCCCATTTATGCATGCCAATTTCCCCCCCAACCCATTACATTTAAAACCAAAGGCAGTCGCCTTATGCATTTGGTCTTAAGATGCCACAAGGCAGCTGCTGCTGTAAGAGTTTCTGGGTTTAGAAAAGTTCAGTTTTCGGTTGACAACTTAATATAGCTGTAGATATTGGAAGCCACAGTCTTAAAAAATGTAGCATTTTAAAACTCCGAACTTGGTACCTGCCTGGATATTTCAGTCCAGGAAGCCATCTTATACTGAGTCAGGCCTTTGGTCCATTTAGCTTCAGACTGTCAAGTGTGGGCCACGCGTGGTCCTCCAGTTGTTGAACAACTTTCCCTTGCAACCCTCACCATTGACTTGACTATACTGACTAGGGCTGACCTGAGTTGCGCTCCAGCGGCTTCTGGAAGGCCACAGATTGCCTTCCCCCAGTTCCACGGACTGGCAGGAGGTTTCCAGGGTTTCAGACAAGCGCCTCCAGCCCTGATGGCGATGCACAAGATCGAACCCGAGTCCTTTTTGTAGTGGCGGAGGACAGGCACTAAGCACATGTCCAAGGTCGCCCTGTGGATTTTGGCAGTTTGCACACGCTTGCTTCTCCAGTTGAAATCAATCGTGCGCGATGCATAATAAATAGACAGGCGATTCACAAGCTGCTTTCTCTGGATTAATTGTTTAAGATTTTTTACTTTAGTGTTTGTTGTGGAATAAGCGCCCATCCGTTCCTGGATTCCCAGTTACGTTCTCAGCCCAAGTCAACAGTACTTTTGGAACCACGTTCGTAAAATGGTCCCTTCTTGATGTTTTGTGTGCTTTGCAAGCGGTTGCTCCGCATAACTCAACACGTGCCTTTTGGAAGACGGAGGCTTATTTGGAACGGGTGCCCTTCTCTCCGTCTCTGCCGTGGGGATGCCAAAGCAGGCGGGGGAAGCGGAGGATTCGCCCTCCAGCCGGAGAGCGTCCGGGAGGAGATCGCTGATCCTCACACTGACTACATTTCAGAGGCGATCTGGAGGGCAAAGCTCAGGGGAGAGGGCTCGGGAGCGCGCGCCGAGCTTGAAGGAAGGGAAGCTCCAGCGCTTCGGTCCTCCAGGCGCGGCTGCCGCTGCTAATCGCCACCCCCCAAGATGTGGCCGCGAACTGAATGGAAGCGTCCGGTCCCTTTCCCGCCATTGGCTAAGCAGGCATCGACGCGGCTTGCGATTGGGTAACGTAAAGGGGAGAGACCTCCTTTAGGAATGCACTATGGCTTGTCTGGCATTTTTCTCTCCTGGGATGGAGAGGGAAGGAGGGAGGGAGGAGAGGAGGACGGGGTGGCGGCGGCGGCGGCTTCTTCTCTGTGCCGACGAGGTGGGGCCGCGCAGTCTTGCTCGTAGCTAGACCCGGCGCTCCTGTCTGGGGTCGGTGGTGTTCGGGGTTGCGAAGGCCAAAAAAAAGAGAAGGCGGCGGTTCTAAGCGCCAAATTTCGTGCAAGCGGGAAAGCCTAGCCTTGTTTGCACGACCGTGCCGCCCGCCAGTCACGTGGAAGCCTTAGCCCGCCTCCGTGGCCTTCCCCTTTTCTCTGAATGTGAGGTCGTCCCACTCAGCCTCCCCCCCCGTCCCAGTTTTTCCTTCAATGAATACACACAAGCTTTTGCCTTAAAGCCACACTCCCCCATTTCACTCTTCGAACCAACATTCGCACTCTTGCAACTTTTCGGGGCTGGAAACGGGGCGAGGGAGGGGGAAGAGACGGAACTGGGAGAAAGGAGGGAATAATTCTGAGACACAGTAGCGGCGGTGGTGTGTCGGGGGGGGGGGGAGGGAGAAGAGGGCCACACGCCACGAGGATCTTCCATTCTTTCTTTAGGCGGAATTCTTTCCGCGATCTAAACAATTTAAAATAGGGCACACCATTTTCTGTGGTGGACGGGAAGGACCAGAATAGGAAACGTGGGAAATGTCACCTGCAACGGACATTCATATAATAGTGCACTAAACTTTTAAGAAAAACGGGAAGTACATGCCAGTGACTTTAGTTAAGAGCACGGTAATCGTGTTATCACCGTGGAAAATATTAAAAAGCCACACTAAAGCCATCAGTAAAGCGCACACGTTGCGATAGTCTTTTCCGAAATGCGCGCACACACACACACACGCTCATTCATTTGTGGTTGTTTTAAAACGCTTAAAAATATGGAGTGCTGGTGCAAAACTTCTAAAACTGCCCAGCGTTTAAAAGTATACTCCAGCTGCACTTTGGCTCTGAAGAATTATTAAGGTGGAACTTCTTTAGCGTTTAAGCGAGCAACTTGGCTACTTCGGTTAAATCTGTTATATCAAGTGTTAAGGTTTCACTGTGGTCTTTTTCTTAAGGCAGCTGATTGTTTTCTTGTAAGGGACGAAGGCTTTTCTTTGGTTCAAAAAGAGGAGAAAGAGGGAGAGGGACCGCTCTGCGCACTACCGCAGTATCCACCACCCTGTCATTATTTGTGCAAGCCTGGGAATTCAGCTTGGACCTCCCAGTATTCGCAGCAGCATGAAGCCGAAGTTCCTCTGAAGAGATTTTATTTTAAGGGCTTCGAGAATCGGGTCTCCCGGTCTTCTCTTTTCTTTTCCTTCTTCTTCTCCCCAACCCCCCCGGGGGAAAAAACCACCACCACCACCACCCGCAATATTTAGAAGATGTTCATGAGCAAATTCTGTAGGTCTATTCAAAAGTGTCTTCCTTCTTTTACGGTCTTTCCGTCTCTTAAACACACGCACGCACATACACACACACACACACACACGAGCCCACTTTCTTGAAAAGAAGGAAGAAAAAGACACGCGGGGTGGGCAGAAAAGAGAAGCATTCCTTAATGGAAGTATTGCATGCAAAGAAGGCTGGATCTCTTTAAGGCTCCCCTGAAGCTGGAGATGCACACACAAGGGTTGCCTGCCTGGGTGGTCTCTCTACTTTGGTGAGCTGTTGCTAAGCAGCTAATAATAGTCATGTTTGCTGAGTAATTTCTGCCCTCTTCGAGCCAATCGCAGCCCAGAAATCCAAGCCATCTGACAGCCCCAGGGGCGGGATTTCAGCTCTCTTTCTCTCTCCCCCCCCCCCCCATTTCATGCATATGCTAAGCCCACAACACTTCTACTCCTTTATCCAAATGGAGAGAGTTCCCTTTTTTTTCCTCCCCCCCCTCCGCCTTCTTCATCTCATCTATTGAAGCGAGGGAGCTGCTGCTGCTGCTGCTGGCTGCTGCATACACGCAGGGGAAGAAAGAGTGAGCGACACACGCATCCCGAGGAGGGAGAGAGAGAAGGAGACGGAGCCCAGGGAGATCTTAAGAGACAGCTCTGCACCCAGACAGAATGATACAGCGCACCGAGACGCAGCAGCAGCAGCAGCAGCATTAAGATCAAGGCTTTCTCCAGTCCTCCTTTGCTTTGGCGAGAAAAAGAGACCGGGGGGAGTCTGGGTTTTCTTCCAGCGGCCGGAGAGCAATTCAAGCCGCCGGGGGAGAAGCAGCAGAAGCCGGAGAAGAAGCAGGAGAAGAAGAAGAAGAGAGGTGGGGGGGAAGGCGAGCCCGCGGAGATTCCCTGGCCCCTCTCACCCCTCACACACTGGATGTGGGAAGCAGCAGCGGCCAAGACCTCCGGATCCTCGCGAAATGTTGCAATGGAAGGCTCGGGATCTGACTCGCCGGGAGCAGCTACAGTTACAGCAGCAGCAGCAGCAGGAGCAGCCAACGCGGTATGAAGAAGTGGTCTGTCAGCAGCAGAGGATCTCCGCCAAGCCAGGCAGCAGTCCCCGGTCCCCCTGGATCGTCCCGCAGCAGCAGCAGCAGCCCCAGCCCCAGCACCCTGGAGGGAACCGCCGAGGACCCAGCCTCTGGGTCACAAAAACAAGAGCAGCAGCCCCGGCTCTGCGGCGGCAACATGGCCTCAGCTGTTAATGCTTCGGAGCCGGAGACCAGCGGCGGCGGCGGCGGCGGCGGCTGTTACAGAGAGCCAGATCGGCCGGGGAGGAGCGGCAGCAGGAGGCGGAGAAGGACCGGCGGGAACAGACGCGCCGCGCCGCCCGATCTGGAATATCTGCAGCGGCCGAGCTACTGTGATGCGGGATTCGCCTTGGAGCAAATATCAAAGGTGCTTGATCGAGCGCTCGGTTCCCCTTCGCCACGGTTTTCTCCCTCTCCCTCCACTTCTAAACAGGCGTGGAAAGGGGCCAAAGTGGTGCATGTGGGCGGTGCAGGTTGTGTGGATATCCGCGAGCCGTAAGTGCTAGGAGGGCAGCCCTTCGCGCTCTCCCCTGAACCTTGTACCCACTTTTCCTGACGGATATGTATTTGTGCTTTGCAGCCCGCTCATTAAACGTATCCGAGTGGCTTCATACTCTGCGTGTGAGCGGATGAGTGAATGAGTGCGAGTTTCCTCCTCCGTTCCTCACACCCAAGATCGCTAGGTTGCTTGCTCCCTTCTCTTCTTAGACTCCTTTCAGCTTTGATTCCCTCCCTCCCTCTCTCGCTCAACTCCTCTCCAAGTTTCGAACAAGAAAAACAAATCTGACGTTCTCTCTTCTCCCCCCCCCTTTCCTGCTCTTTATTTTCGGAGCGAAAGGATCGTTTTCCTTAGAAAAGACGTCTCACCTAATCCTGTAGTCGTGTTTCACCTCCAGCGCTAAAGAGAGCGATCGCTATAAACAAATTGCTACCTTAAATCACGTACGTTCTGGTCATGATTGAACAGTTCCCCCCTCCCCCGTCCTCGTCTCGCTTTCCTATCCCAGAAAAGATTTTTTTTTAAAAAAAGTCAGCTTTGCGGGACGCAAGAGAGAAACGTTCGAAAGAAAACAGCGTTGCTTTTCTGCAGTGATAGTTTTAATTCCAGTGAGCAACAGCGATTACCTCCTCCCCCCTCCCAAAGGGTAGTGCGGGGGTGGGGGGAGCCCGAAATTCATGTGGCCGCCCTCTTCTGCTCTCCAATATTGTCCCAACATACAGATGGCTATTCCCGATTCAGATCACACCTCGTCTCGGAACTGTGTGGAAATGAGTGACTTGTACAGGAGACGCTTACCGTGGTATAACAGCACGATCCACGGACCACGTGGGCTTCGCATTTACTACGAAGCTGGCTGGGGCTGAGGAATAGGGGAGGGCGAGGAGTGGATGGCGACCATGTGTGGTGGTTAAGGAGGCTCTTTCCCGACCCTCAAAAGCAGGATTCCCCTCCAGAACAGAGAACCTGGGGGGTGGGTGGGTGGAAGGATCGTTTTCTTTTCTCCCTCCCCTTCATCGCTTGACAAATCTCCAAATTCACGTGCTCTGTTTATTGCTCTCCCCGCCACCCCGGGTCTGTCCGGCTTCTGCCGACTTGAATGAGGATCTTGGCGGATGGGAGCTCTGACTTCGTAGAGCAGAAAGGCAAGGGTTAGGTTGCTTAGATAAGGAAGGAAGCGTGGACTGTCCGTCTCAGTTAGACACCGCTCCAGCTGTGATGTAATCCAGCAGTCTGCGCTGATTTATGGATAGGAGAGAGCCAGCCGCAGAACCACACGCGTTTTCTCCTTGCAAAGAGGTGTTGTGTGTGCTTGTGTGGGAGTGAGTGAGGCTCAGGGTTTTGCAGCTTTGGTCTCCTGAGCCTGTTGTGTTAACTGTCACTCTTGATCCGCTTTCCTTTGGGAGGATGCTTGTCCACACGCTTGATTGTTTGGGACATGTACTATATGATGCTTTTATGTGCAATCGTTCCTCACCACAGACGCACGCGCACAAAATTGTGATATTTTTTTTTTCGTCCCTCGTCCCTTCGCTTACCAATCTTTCCTTGCCTTGCAGGGAAAGGCTACTGGAAGAAAAGCACCACTGTGGCTAAGAGCAAAGTTTCAGAGACTGTTATTTAAACTGGGCTGTTACATTCAAAAAAACTGCGGGAAATTTTTGGTGGTTGGCCTTCTGATCTTTGGGGCTTTTGCTGTGGGATTAAGAGCAGCCAATCTCGAAACTAATGTGGAGGAACTCTGGGTAGAAGGTAAGGAGTGACCCTCTTATTCTTCCGAAATTGCCGTGCTTGTTTTAGCTGTTTTGGTTAGGGGTTGTTGTTTTTTCTGGGGGGGGGCGTTAAAAAAATCCCCTCACAAAGGGGGAAACGGGTTGGTCTTCAGCAGCGTTGGCTAAAAGCCAGACGGGTTGTTGGGGGACCTTGTAACCTATTCTGCGCGGCAATGTTTTGTGAGGTGCAGTCGGAAGGGGTGGTTATAATGTGCCGTTAAAATTACTAAAATGGGTCCTCCACAGTCTCCTTCAGTCTCTGCCTGTGTGTCCTGTCTGAGAAGCTGCTTCTGGTGTCAGGGCAGGGGGGTTGGTTGTGTGTGAGTTGACTCTTTTTTTCCTCTCATGTGTATGAAAGGAAAGTCTGTGTAGAAAGTGGCCCACCCCCTCCGCCATTTTGTGTGTGTGTGTGTGCCTGCGTGTGTCCCTTTAGCAGCAGCAGGAACAGGCGGAACGTGATCAGCACAGCTCGGTAGGGCTGTGCTTCTGTGTGGTCCTGTTTTTTTGGACAGCTTTCAGCTTTGAGGGGGAAAAACATTTGTCTCAAGGTAAAAAAAATAGAAGAGTGAAGCAGAGACTGGAACACATGTTGGAATGTTTGCAAAGCAGATTACTGGTCTCCCTTGGTGGTGGGGCTGAGTTAACTGGGGGTGGGGGGATTGGAGTTTTTTTGTGTGTGTTTTAAAATCAGAAGATGATTTTTAAACAAGATTAATCATTTTGGTGGCTGCCTTAAAATGTTGATTGATTTATATCAGTCTTTTAAAAGGGAAAGAACTGTTGGCTAAGCTAGTTGAAGAGCAAGCTGGTTACATTTATTATATTTTTTCTGGTTTTTCATGAGTGGTTTTTGCTGTTAGTGGGGATGGGGTCCTCAGCTGAAGTTTTCCATGGCAGTATTCATTTTTTAAACGTTTTCTTTTCTCAGTTAACAGAATTTTACATAGAAAAAGTAGGTGTTTGTCACGAATTGTGGTTTTTGAGGTCTGCATCATGGGAAGAAAGTACAGACTCTTTCAGTGCAATATGAATATATTGATTCAAGTGGGTTTAATAGTGCTCATTCCAAATTATGTGAACAGTCCTACTTTCTTTTAAGTGAAATAGGTCGAGCTTGCTTAATAAAGAGATGTGCTGTGACATGCTGATGTTGATGCTGATTATTATGAAGTTATGGATTTATTAAAATGATGAGTGAATTTGATTTGGCTTGCAAGTGGCGTCATGGTGGTCTTCATAACTTACTTGTAGGGTGGCTATATGTATGTTGAGAAAGCTATGATGGATTGAAATAATCACCAACACAACACCAGTCTTACTCCAGTTAAAACAAAGAAGCCTTCCTTATTAAGATCATGCAAACGCTACAGTTCAAAGCTGTCGTTGACATATGTTTCCAGTGGCAAAGTCTCAGTGCTACCAGGAGCAATTTAGATAGGTCTTTAAATGGGAAAATTGCAAAGATTGTGCAGTTTTAAGCACAAGGCATCTTTACATATACATTTGGGCGATGGTAACTGCAATGAATCAAGCCGAGGGGCTAGTTCTGTAACTAGCTAATATATAGGGAGCGGTAGCCATGTTGGTTAGTGTGTTGCAGCAAAAAGTCTTGTGGCCATCTTAAAAAACAATAAAAGTATTATTTAGCATGAACTTTTGTAAATGATGTCTAATGGAGTAGGCTGCAGCTCCCAAAACTTTATGGTTGGTTAATGTAGGAATGCTACTGCTACTGCTGCTGCAACAACAACAACAGCTGCTGCTACAACTACTACTACAACTACTACTATTACTACTACAACTACTACTACTACTAAACTAGTTAACTTCATTATTTTGACTAATTGACTGGCTACTCAAACACTTCACTCATACTCTAATGCACACAGAACACTAACTGAACCCGAACAGAAAAAAGTCAGGGAAAGGAAACTGAGGTAGTGAGGGAACAACTGGCTACATTCAATGTGCCAGCAAGTTTGGAAAACTCAACAGTGGCCAGAGAATTGGAAAAGATCAGTCTACATCCCAATCCCAAAGAAAGGCAGTGGCAAAGAATGCTCTGCATTGGTTGCCCGTTCGTTTCCACATTGATTTCAAAGTTCTGATGATGACATATAAAGCCCTAAACGGTTTGGGACCTCGATACCTGCCAGATCGCCTTCTCCCAGAGAAGAAAGAACAAGAAACCGGGCCTTCTCGGCAGTGGCCCCTCGGCTGTGGAATTCTCTACCAACAGAAATCCACCTGGCTCCCTCGCTGGGTGTTTTTAAAAGCCATTTAAAAACTTGGCTCTTTAGGCAGGCCTTCCCTCCAGTCAATTAACTGTTTGGTTTCTTTAGTTCCCCATCTTGATAATGTATATATCCACCTGTTAGTTGATTGTATTATTATGTTTTTAGTAAGTATATTTTTATTGTATTTTATCATTTTTTGTAAGCCGCCCGAGTAGACTTTGTCTAGAGGGGCGGGGTATAAGTCTAAATAAAATAAAGTAAAGTAAATAAATGAAAGAATTAAGCAGAGTGTAGCGTCCAATGCATACAGTACATCTTTCCAATTCACTTATGGAAAGAAATATAAGAAATTAGAACAGCAAAGAAGAGTTTTGCTTTTGGGTAGTTGCTTGGATGTTCTACATCCAGCACATGGTTGTGTGAATGGCAGGTGGTGGATAAAACTGAGAGGTCCTAAATACTTGGATCATTAAAGGGGTAGATTGAATTATGGATGTAAAAATCAGAAAACAGTACATGAATAGGATAAGATTTCCCTGGGACCTGTGCTTTTTAACCTGATCATATATGGTGTTAGGAATTAGCAGTGAAATAGCCAAGTCTGCATGGTGGATAGAGTGATGGGATAAAGTGTTATAAAATAAAGTGTATACTATGTAGAACTGGGATTGACAGACGTTCTTACCCATTTTCATAATACGAAAACTTGGGAGCATCGAACTAAAATATTTGACAAGAGATGAAAGACATACAAAAAGAAATGTATCTTCTCATTGTATGTAGTTAGTGTGCTGAATTTGCTGTCACAAGAAGCAAGAGTAGCATCAAGGAAAGGCATGGCTGGATACCTTCTGAAGGCCTATACTCCAGCAGGGACCCACTGATGAGTGTCCTGTACTTGTTCTTGATTTTACTCATTGCAAACTGCTTGTTCTTCTACCTTTCTAGTCCAGAAAATGGTAGTGGTGAGCAGAAGGAGCAGTAGATACCACTCCCTGCTTGCTTGCTGGCTCTTTGCTTGTCATGCATGCAGGTGGCACCAGTGATGAGTGGTACTGTAGCGAGAAGTTGAACTTAGTATGGGAAAAGGCATAGCCCACTGAAGGCCATAAAAGGTCTGCAGCCAGTCATACTTAGAAGACTTTTAAAGTGGATTAGATTAATTCATAGAAGATAATGCCTACTAGTAATGTGGGCAGTATGTAGTCTGTAGGTTCAGAGGCAATGCAGGAGCTGTTAGGAAGCAAAGATAGGAAAGGGTTATTATCTTTATATAATTCTTGGGGTATCTAGAGCCAGCTAATTGACTGCTGATGGAAACATCATACTGGACTATAATAGAGCTTGTGACAGTTAATGTTTTGGAACATAGTTCCGGCGTCTCTGAATACCAGCCATGTTGGCTGAGAGATTCTGGTAGTTGTGCCCCCAAAATGTAACTTATCTAGGTTCTGGAGAAGAGGGACACTTGATCTGATTTGACAAGACTTTTCTAACATCCTTATGAATCACTTAGGTTGAGTTGTGCATTTGGAATCCACGGTGCCATACATCCTTAGAGGATGATCAATATGCTGCTGGTATTAACCTGTTTTTATAGCCATTGCTTTTTATTTAGATTCCTTTAGGGGAGCCTGTAAAGTCAACTAATTCCATTGCTAGTTCAGATGGATTACCCTGTTTCCCCGAAAATAAGCCCTAACGTGAAAATAAGCCCAAGTATGATTTTAAAGTCAGAAAAGAAGACAGGAGGGCCTGGCATGCTCTGGTCCATGAGGTCACGAAGAGTCGGACACGACTTAATGACTAAACAACAAAAATGATTTTTCAGTGACAGTGTCATCGAAGCTATCAACATGAATTTGACCAAACTCTGAGAGGCAGTGGAAGACAGGAGGGCCTGGTGTGCTCTGGTCCATGGGGTCACAAAGAGTCGGACAAGACTTAACGACTAAACAACAACAAATTATTTTTCAGGATGCTCGTAATATAAGTCCTACCCCCAAAATAAGCCCTAGTTCAGTGAAACCCTGCCCTCTACCATTGTGCAGCAACCAGAAGATGACACAACTGTAGTTGAATAAATGTAGATGGTTGTACATGAAAAAAAAATTGCTGAAAATAAGCCCTAATGCTTTTTTTCAAGCAAAAATTAATATAAGACCCTGTCTTTTTTGGGGGAAACATGATAATATCTTCCCCTACTGGCCAAATGTCCAGATTCTGTTTCTGGTTGTTTCAAGTTGTGGTGTTGAACTCATTCATATGTCCATAAATCTGCTTAACTGCAATTGGGCTTACAAAAATGAAAGTGGATTTAGTTTGAAGTCATCTTATTTTGGCTGACTTGAGTAATCCCCTGTCCAGGATTGATGGACTCATCTCTTGTCACCTATTTTTCTTGACAGTTTAATGGTCAGCAACATCCTGATTACTGGAGTGACAATTCCTCTGTGATTGGATTCATAATATAAATATTACTCTTGAGAGAGGAAACATATGATTTAGAAAATAACTGCTTGGCTTGCCACTGTTCTGATTCTTCATGTTTCTCCCTTGGTTTGCTCCATTGTCAAACTAGAGAAATTTGATCTCTATTATTAGTTATCTAATAGTCTTCTTAAATTGCGATTGTAAACCCATCTATGTGTGAGCAAATCCAATTATAATTAATGGGATCTACTACATAACAGACATGTATAAGATTGCAGAGTTAGTAATCATGTTTTATGCAGTTTATTAT